CCGTAAATACAAGATTCTACAAGCAGTACATAGACCACACATTCAAGGTTATACCTTTAGATAAAGTAACTGCATTTTTCAACCATCTCAACTCCATAAATTATAAAATCAGTTCACTATGGAGTTAGAGGCTAAAAACTCTTAAGCTCTTCTAGATGTGTTAGTAATTCGTAATCCTGATAAAACCTTGAGCCACACTTTGTATAGAAAAAAGACTCATACGGTTAGATATTTACATAGTTATTCTCACCACCATCCTTCGCAGTTGTTGTGTGACTGCCACGTCACTACATCAGATTTGGTAGAACACAAATACTCGCCAAAGAAAACAAATTCCTTCCAAGGAAACCGAGAGGCTATGGAAATCAAAAACCATTCTATTTTTAATTGAGAAGACGACTGGGTGCTGTTATTTGATTGGGATCCCATAATTAATAAAATTAAATACCAACCCAAGCATAGAACTGCAAGACTTTAAGATACTATAAGTTCATGTTGCGTAAACCTGAAAGAAAATTAATAATTTTAATCTGAAGGTAGTCGTGGTTAACTATAAAATTGGTACCTCTAGTATCTCTTTAGCTTGCATTAAGTATCACTACGTTAAACGTATCAAATTAACTATTAAAACTTGCCTCAACTCGATTTTATTTTTCTAACCTAATTTTAAAAAAGAAAATGTTTTGCTCGCTTGTCACCCAAACAAAAAAAAAAGTAAAGTTACAGCATATATACGTCCCACTGCTGGGCACAGGCCTCCCCTCACTTCTGAGAGGGTTTTAGGGAAAGGAAGTGTCCGCCGCGCTGCTTCCAATTCGTGTTGCGAACTTCACATGTCTTCGAAATATTTTTTTTCTTATTCCTCAGACATGCAGGTTTCCTCACGATGTTTTTCTTCACCTACCTACCTAAAGTTATTCTATAAAATAGTTGTGAATATAACCATGAACACAAACCTAAAAAAAAATCCACGTGCTCATTATATTCACAAAATGGTTACTGGTTAATAATATCTTTTATTTGTGTTTATTCATTTCTCTGCGGGCTACATACGACACGATATCGGTGGCGATCTAGGGTGGAAAGAAATCGGGGCTTATATCGGGGCAGACCCTACACACGGGCCTGCCTAGCAGTACGCGTTCGGACTTGGAGCGGAACGCATATGCGGTAGATTTCTTCAAAATAGTTTCAATTCTTTTAAAACACCAACGTGTTGGTTTGTCATTAGCCCTCTCGGTTAATTTATTCGAAAATAGAAAAAGAGAAGTTGCTGGGTGAAAAAATGGCTCCAAAAGAGATAAAAATTAAGCCACATAAACGTACTAAATGGCCTGTAATCCAAGGACGTGATTAATTTTCTCTGGATGGATGAAGACAGTTTTTATAACCTTCTAGAAATGATTTCGCCACTTATATAAAAACGTCAATTTCTCCTACCTATGCTATTTAGTTATTTCTTCTCTTTGTTCATTTCTGCTTTGGTCAAAATCTGGTTATGTATTACACACAACAAGCAAGGAAATAAAATACTTTTTTATAATAATATGTATACTTTTTTTTAATGTAATCTTTATTTATGGAGTAAAACTATCAGAAAATAAAATAACTTATATCTTTTTTTAAACATAAAGAAACCTTTAATTTCGGACATACTCCCTTTTATATAACTTGTTTGTTGATGTGGAGATGGTGAAGGAGTAGAAGTTAGTTGTTGATAAGAGGATGAAGGCACGTAAGAGATCGAAGTGTGGTCTTGTGGAGTTGTAAGAGATATGAGTGCGGTCTTGTGTTGATAGCGTTGGAATAGGAGTTAGTTGTTGAGGAGAGGCTTTATCTTCTCCTTACTTACATCATACACTCTACTTTACGAACGGCAATAAAAAAATTAGTTTAGTAGGCATTCTTGACCATGTCACTTCGCCGGGTCACAGGCTATGGTGGATATGATTTGAATTTCGATAAAATTTCAATTAATTTATTTATTTTATTCACTTTTTTTGGTTTTTTGTAAAATATCAGTGCCATAGGCTTCTACTCCGTTTATATGATTAAAATGTAAAAATTTTGTTATATAAAAAAGGTCATTCAGTATCACTGTTTTGTTACCTTCCTTCCGCGAGGGTTGCCGGCAGCGACTGCCAAAAGAAATCGGGCCGATGCGCCTACACACACGCAGTAAGGATGGGGCGGTGCCCCGATCTAGGAAGCATCGGCTGATCTAGGAAGCATTTTTGCTCCTGCCAGCCGATTAAGGAGGCGATATCGGCCACGACTTAGGATGGCCCTACATACGAGACGATTTAGAGGCAACCTAGGAGGCATCCCCACTACTCCACCCTAGATCGCCACCGATATCGTGTCGTATGTAGCCCGCTTATATCGTCCCGTCGGTGTCGTAAGAGATGACAGAAGGAAATGATCCAGCGAGATTAGCAGCAGCGTCTTCGTAACAACAGCATCAACATAACTATGGAAGTATATATGCCTGTGAGTCAATTTATGGGAAAGGGCTATGTTTAGCAACATACATTTGATAAACTGTAGCAAAAAAGTACGTAGAATAAATAAATATTACAATATTACAAGTATTATATATCTACCTTTGCTATTATAATAATATTAAAAATCAGGTCAATGCTGGTTACTACGGTTGAATGACAAATTAATAGAAAAGCTATCATACTTAAGTTTTTCAGTGGTTTACAATAATAAAAATTGTTATCAATATAAATCGCATATAAAAATCTAATATAATAATGAGTAATTAATTACATTTAAGTACCTATAATCAGACTTTTATGAGTTACTAACATGCTAGAAATAAAATTTGTAGAAAAATAATCAAAGGTTTTTTTAATCATAATATACATATTATAGTACCTAACTGTAATAGTTTATAAAAAAAATCCAATCTTAATGTTATTACAGTTGTACTTGGTACTTTATTACTTTTACATTTAATAATCACAAATATAACCAAAAAATAATCTAAAAAGTCTTAATACAAAAACTAAAGCTGCCTATAAAAATCTAATTTTAACAGAGATTTTTTCTTTTATCACTTATCAGTACAATAAACGTATAAGCAGGTTTTAAATATATTTCTTCTATAATTATATCGTTCCTCGTTCGGGTCGTATCTTTCCGAAATGCCCTGGTTTTTTCGATAGTATTTGCCACAACATGACGTTATATCCCCAAAACTCTTCACCATTGCTTTGAAAGATGTCTTCAAGCTACGAAACTGGAAAGGATATGGTATTAACATCAATGGTGAGTACGATTTGCCTACGATATAGTTCTTATGGCAGAATCGCTGGAAGTTCAAACACTTCAATAGTATCTCTCAACGGATAGGTCTTAAGATGAACATGGACAAAACAAATATAATATCCATGTCACTCCTATGCCGGTAGTTGTTGGGTGTACTAAACTCGATGTTGTTGATGAGTACCTCCTGGGAATAATAGTACCACTAGGTAAGTCTAACTTCGACCCAGAGCTCAATCGACGGATTCAATTCGGTTGGGCAACGTCCGGGAAAGTACAAAACATTTGAATGCAGATGGCTCAGGACCGTGCTTTGTGGCATTCCTTGAGGGAAGCCTTTGTTGGTCAGTTAAATATAGAGTGCTAATAAACACATAGATATTTTATAATCGGAAACACTGAAACTGAACCAGATTTCAGTAAATATAAAGATGACGTAAGAACTGTTATGTATTTGTTGACGCATCTCCGTTTTTGGATTGCAGACCGCTTACATTTTGGTAGCAGCTTCTGAGAAGTGTCGTTATATATTTTAAAAATAAGGAAAAAAATGGTAAAATAAGGAAGATTACACATGTATTTATTCTGAACAGCTAAGAGAAATATTTTAAAATTAAATGTTATAGAGAATAAGTTTTATATATGTCTCTATATAAAGACCTTTAGATAACAGGCTTGTTCGAAAGTTCATAAATATATTCGTTTATACATTCTTTCTTCTGCTTATGGTGTAGATAATCTGGTTAACTTATTCATCAGCATAAAGTAAATTTTAAAATGCTGTGAATGTACCAATACGTTCGTTATATTATATGATTAATATTAGTATATGGTTAAAACTAGTATTTGATTTTCTGAAAATTGTAAGAAGTAACCAGCCATCACATTAGATTTGATAGACCACAAAATATCGTAAAAGAACATCGATTCCTACCAAAAATGATTCGTAAGGCTGTTGAAATTAAAAAACATTCTAGTGTATATAGAGAAGATGAATGGGTGCCAAACCAAACTCGTTTGGGTTAGGTATGGTTATACAACTGCGATTTTTTAAGATAGTGTAAGCTCGTTTTGCGTAAATCTGACATAAAGTTAATATTAATAAATGGAAGGTAGCCCGACTAACAATCACGTGAGGAAGTCAAACATTTCAGTCCTCCCCCACTTCTCGCGACCATGGGTGCTGCAAAGCACCAGAAACATCGGGAATTGAAAAAGTTCAAATTAATTGCATTAAAATCCGTAAAATTAATTTCATTTAACCTAAACATTTGTTTTCGAAGAATCACGCAACCACCACCCTCCCACTCTGCAGTTATATAATTAAGTCTGTGGAAAAATATAATTGTAGTCGTACAACTTTACATTTTAAACATAAGTGTTGCGTTGCATTTGTTTTTGAACCATAAAACGTGTACGTAGATTTAATACGACTATATAATTGATATGAGATCTATAAGTGTAACTCCTCATTCTTAATGATTTTTAAGCTAGTTGATATGAATTCAAATAATTTAAATATTTTTCCCTTTAAAGTTATAGTTTTGATTTTTATATGTCTCTTACTACCTTTATGTGAAAATCAAGAAATATTAACTCAAGACAATAATAAGGAATTATTATCGTGTATTCGGAGTATCATTACAATTTGGTTCGAAAAAGGATCAGAAGTTACGTATGTAGATATAAATTATAATGGAAATGAAATAATAAAGTCAGTACATGAAATGAAATATGTGTCTGTAGTATCACGAACAACTAAGAAGAAAGTACTATATCAAAATGAAGGCTACTTCATAACAGCAAAAAATTCAACAGTTTTCAAAGATGAATTTATGTTTCTATCAATGGAGGAAGGTTGGAAACCAGATGTCTATTTTGTGATTGTTTTAAGGGAACTTGAATTATCAGAAATAAATGATGTATTTAAATTTCTTCTTCGTTATCATGTTTTTAAAGTGTTGGTAATAAATAGAGCAAGTAATGCGAATGTCTACACGTATAATCCATTTGAAAACTATGGCTGTGGAAAGGTTTTCACTAGGACTATATCGTATGGGAAATGTATGAAAGCAAACATAACGAAATCATTTTTTTACAAGCCTGTAACGGGACTTAGAAAGTGCACATTTAAAGTAGGTTTTTGTGATTTGCCACCATACGCTATTGATCCTAATAATAATAAGAGGAAAGAGAAAATTAAAGGAATAGAACAATTTGTTTTGGAAACTTTAAGCGAATTGGAACAATTCAACGTTATATATTCCTACCAAAGTAACCCTGAAGAAACTTCTGCGATCGGAGATGATATGATAGCTTCTGGTCCTTTGAGTTCCATTCAGAAAGGTGATGTTGAGATAATGTTAGGAGGATATTCTTTGATGCATAAAAGAGCAGAAGCTTTTAGCTACTTATATGGACATCATTCTAACTACGATGGACTCATAATCTTAGTCAAAAAAGCAGGTTTAGTATCGAATTTCAAAAATATCTATATAGAGTTTGATGCCGTGGTTTGGATATTATTAGGCGTAGCATTCATATTATTTTTTGTGGTTTTTGTTAAAATATTTCATATAAAAGACAAATGTGGAACAATTTTAGTTATGTGGGACGTTCTTTTTCAACACGGTGCTACATTGGGTAATAAGCGAAAGTTTAGGTATTTCATATTTATTTGGATTGTTTTTGCTTATTTGATTAACATACATTACCAAACAAATCTCTCTAGTCTTACAACAGACCCTGATTACGAATACCAAATTTCTAACGAGAACGATCTGGCTATCTTTAATATAAAACCATGTTTAAGCTCTCCTGTAAAGATTTTTTTACAAGTCGCATCGGGGCTTGAGTTAGAAGAGGAAAACAATAAAGAATGTAAAACTTTATTGCAGAGCATTAGGACAATCAGCCAAGTTCATGACAAGTATACTATAATATTTTACTCTTTTTATAATCGCTATAAGCTAACCTTCATTGATGAATATGGAAACTCTCAAATTTATGCGTTTGACCGACCATTTAGCAAGGTTATAGTTGCTATATTCTTTTATAAAGGATTCCCTATGCTAAGGCAATTACGATTGAAACTTTTGCATATTATTGAGAGTGGTTTGTTTGATAAGCATTTGAAAGATTTGTTAAACGAATATGCCAAAAAACACTATTTCCCTGAAACACACTTTCGTGCTCATCTTATTATTCCTTGGCATATTCTTGCTTTTGGTCTTTGTCTGGCAACCGGATGTTGCGCAACTGAAATCATAATATATTTTATAAGACAAAAGCTCAGAAATAAGGTTTTCACTGTCATAAATTACATTATTAACATTTGAATTCTTCAAGTATTATACAGACTAAAAAAAATGCTTTTATATAAAAATACATAAAGAGGAGGAAAATTGTTATATACATCTATAATCTATATCAATTTCAATTTTAAATTGTTTATTGCTTCTATAATGTACAGTACATTAGCAGTTACAGTGACCATTATAGACCCTGTCGGGCGTTGCAATATACAAGAAATATACAATAAAATAATTAAATGGACTTACAACTATGTAACATCATTATATTATATTTGGCTATTTTGAAAATAAAATTTTATTTAATGCTTAGTTTTTATATATCATATATCATATTTTTATTCCTCATATTATAAAATTAATGTTTGATTTTTGTAATGGCATGCGTGAAATATATCTTGAATTAAAGCTTTTAATGAAATACCTCAACAACAATATCATATTATTTTTTTTTTCAAATTTGGAATATTTTTAATAAATCTGAATGGTAAACAAATAGACACATCTGAGGGATAATTTAAAATGTTTCAGAGCCTGAGATGTATGGCTTGCTATACACTTAAGACCGATATAATAATTTATATGAATGGGAATGGAATATTTCCACTGTTCCTGTCATATTAAAATCTTTTTAATTGAAAACTCCTTGGTTTTAAAAATCGAATACCATTTATTTATTTAAAAAAGATTCTCGGTCTTGTCACAAGGTTTTGTCAAACTTGTTTAGTCGTTGAGAAAATGTAATTGGCTCGAGAAAATTAAGGAGCTATGATTTATTATGATTTTCGAAGTGGTTTAACACAAAAACAGTGTGTTCACCGGATGATTTCTGCATGTGGTGATGAAGCCCAATCCAAAACCACAATTTATCGCTGGTTTGCTGAATTTCAACGTGGACGTGTCAAGCTCAGTGATGATCCCCGTCAAGGTCGTCCAAAAACTGCAGTCACTCAAGAAAACGTTGATGCTGTGCGTAAGCTGATTGAGGAAGATCGACATGTGACATACCGCGAAATTCAGGCAACTTTAAACATTGGTATGAGTCAAATACAAATAATGTTGCATGAACAATTAGGTGTAAAACAGTTGTTTTCTTGATGGATACCATATTCGCTCTGTGAAGAGCAAAAAACGGCTCGCAATCCATCGTATGGAAAATGTGTCAAATTTCGCGGAGGAAATACTTCGAAAAGCAATAAATACATTTTTAAATAGTAATGTTGTGTCACTTCCTTGATTCCCGAAATTTTACCCTATTTATTTTACTTTAACTGCTTATTTCACAGAGCCGTGGTAGCTCAGATGGTTAATGCTCGCTGTAAATATAACAGAACGCGAGTAAACCGCGTTCGAGCCCCGCCGGCGCCAATGAAATTGTTAATTGCAATTTTAAGTGCTGATTTACCACGTGCTCAGCGGTGAAGGAAAACATCGTGAGGAAACCTGCATGTCTGAGGAATAAGAAAAAAAATATTTAGAAGACATGTGAGGTTCGCCAACACGCATTGGGGCAGCGTGGCGGGCACTTCCTTGCCATAAAACCCTCTCAGAAATGAGAGGAGGCCTGTGCCCAGCAGTGGGACGTATATAGGCTGTAACTTTACTTTACTTTACTTTACTTATTTTACACCTACCTCTTTTTATTTCTATACCACTTCAATGGAGACTGGTTGAGAATGCTTCAGTTATAAATACGTTACATGAAGTTATATAAATAAATAAATATCATAAAATTTGAAAAAGTGCAGTGCCACTGTCATGGGTTTGTAACAAAAAAAAATTACGTTCCCTTTGTTGGGATGAATTAGACCCGCTAAACCACAGAATTTAATTTGCATCATTAGTTGGTATAGAAAATAAAGTATTTATGTATTTTTAATGATGTGTTTTATTTATTTTCAATTTCTAAGAAGTAATGCGCTTCTTCAAGCTCGTTAATTCATAGGTCCTGCACCTGATTTCTATCCGGTCGTGCCAGATTACCATACTATCGGACTGTGAGGGAATAGAAACTGCAACTGTGTTTGCGCATACAATCCTAGTACCCGGATGACCGAGTTTTGCTCGTTTTTTTTTTTTGAAATTACATTTAGATACAAATACTACTACTACTATAAATACTGATGAATAATATTTTTTGATCTTATTGACATAATAGAAAAAACTGAACTGGTAATTTGAATAAAAAATCATGAGTGCAATTAGTTTAATTAAAATAATTTTTAAAAAATAATAAAAAAGGACTCGAAATAATAGATTTTGTCACAAAAGATGGGAACTTGAAAAAAAAGGAAAAAAATTGGACCGCAGACAGGACGCGAACCAACGCATTACGATTTCGCGACCGCTCGATATCCACTTGAGCTATTACGATCATTAACAAAGTGTCAAAATTTACCTTCTTATATTGTTGCAGTTTTTCATTGCCTGAAAACACGGACAAAAAGACATTTTCTAAAAATAAATCCTAGCTAGGTCGATTTATTGCCCCCGAAACTCCCTGGACACTAAATTTTATGAAAATCGTTGGAGCCGTTTCGGAGATTCCAATTATATATATATATATATATATCAAGATTTGCTCGTTTAAACGTATAGGATTCTACGCAGATGGCTAGTCTTCGTTAACTGGCCGCCATGACTGAAATTCGGTCTAGAGGACATTATTGGGTAAGGTCGTAGATTTTTCACTTTGTATTATATAGTTACATAGACACTTCTATGCTGCGGAAGCTTAGAGGTAATTCAAAAAAAAAGGATATATATTATTATAAGGGTGATTTCATAATGCGCTATTTTTAGCGTGAAAGTTTAAGTCATGAGATGTACCTGGACGACAAACTTCAGCCAAAATATATAATAATACAATTCGTCATTTCTGTGAATTTCAGTTCAATAACAGAAATATTTGATTAATGATGGATATTTCCAAAATGTTTACAAGCAAAAAGACACATAATATTCATTATGTTGATTTTTGTTTTACTCTAAAATATGTCCTAAGCTAAGAAAATAATATAAACAACGAGATGTTTTTATAGAATAGGAATAACAAACGATAACAAGGCCTACCTCGTGATAAGTGTATGCTGTAGTCTATAGACATCTTCATCTGTCGTCGATTAAAAATCAAAATAAAGACGCGTTGTCACCACTGGGGACTAAGATAGAATTTCTCGTATACAGTAAAGAGAGTCTCCGGTTTTTTCCACTCACCATTCAAAACAAAGCAGCATTAAGCAGCTAGCTAGATCAAGGTATTGACACAGAAAGCAGGAAAGTATGACACAACTAAGAAATTAGTTAATATTACATTTTATTGAATCAGTGTATAGATAAATTTTACTGTCGTTACTAGTAACTAATAAATATTTGTTGTCTTGAATTCATGCTCAGTCCGGTAGTGATAGATGTTAACAAAGTTTGCCGATGCTAATTATTAGTTGTGTCACACTCATATTTCTTAATGCGGCGCGTATTGTTAAAAGTTTTCTCACTCTTTTACTCTGAATGCATGTAGCTTGAACCATGTACCGATGTCACTAGGCTACCGCTTGTTATATTTTTAAATTATTCTAATCTTTTTTCTAAAAATATATGAGAAAATATTATTTGTAACTTTTTTATTAAAAAACTGGGATATTTTTAAATGTTTTCTAACTGTTGAAAAAAATAGAAACAAATAGTCCTTAGCTCTTTTTTACTTTTGATATAAGTAACTGTTTTTAAAATCACAGGATTCTAATAAAATATTTCTAAGCTTGGTAAAGAGTATGATCGATAACAAAATATTACTAGTATTATTAAATTAAAATAAAGCATATCGAAATCGTTACTCAGGTATGGCATTTACGAGTTCTTTAGAGATTTCCTTCCGTTGAACTTAATTTATATTTTTGACGAACGAAATAGTGGTCATCTTCACGGACTTAGTGGTCGATCTTTACAGAACATGCGGAATTTTTGACGGTTTTCAAATTTTTTATTTTATAATAATAGTGCGCGCCATAAATAATTCCTGCTATATGGCACTAGCGCTATCTGGTATTGAGTAGCAGAACTAAGCTTTCTAGAAAATTGTTTAGTGGAACTTTCTACAACTTGTTGGTCGGGACAGATATGTGCTCGAATATTCCAGATGTTTCAGGAGAAAAGGCCAGTAAAGACCGCGACCGAGTCGGTATTTAATTGGCGATGCAAACGAATACTTAGAAGCGATATAACTGCGAATTGTGATTGTGATGTTATATTATTGGTGTGTTTTCAGTTGTAATTAATGTTCGGTAACTAAAGTGTCAATTTTCAATTCAATCGGCTGTTTTTGTTGTAACGTACCTAGGGTCGTAGTAATTGGTGTCAGAAGTGATCAAACCGTGCCGATTTTTCCTAAGGACGACAAAGAGGGTATCCATACCCAAAGTCAATGCCAGCAGGAGACGTCGGAGGGCCAGCTGCCAGCCATGGAGGCCGACCCGTCAGCAGCTCCTACATTTGAAGCACCTGACTTAGATGTTCTGATGATGATACTGCAGGAGCAGGCTCGCCAACTGGAGGAACTGGCTCGTTGGTTGAAAAAGCAGCAGAGGAAACAGACCCGCTGACAGGAGGAACAGGCCCGTCGTTTGGAAGAACAGCTCAAACGCGATATGAAAGAACAGATGCTCCTCATGAAGGACGTTCACGCTACCTTTGGGAAAAAGAGGTAAGGAAGTGGTATCTGTGAGGATGCTGAGGACAGACCACAGTGGAAGGAATGCCTACAACATGCACAGCAGGAAGATCCGGACATCAAGCCGATTCTGGAATGGATGAAGGCCAGTGCTCCCAAGCCCAAGTGGAGTGACGTGTCAGTGATGAGTTCGACCATGAAAAGCTATTGGGCCCAATAGGATAGCTTGCTGCTTCAGGATGGAGTTCTGTGCCGTAAATGGGAAAATGGGAGACAGCTGTCATTTGCAAATGGTTGTCTCTAAAGCTAAAATACCGGATGTTCTACAGATTGTTTTACATGATTGTTTAGGAGGCCATCTGGGAGTTAAATGATAAATTTTGCTGGGTCCACTGTCGAAACGATGTCTAGCACTGGTGTCGCAAATGTACAGGTTGTGCGGCTGTGAAGGGACCACAGACTCGTAGTAGAGGCGCACTGAAGTTGTACAATGTTGGTTCATAATTAGAGAGAATAGCCATTGACGTGGCGGGGCCGTTTCCGGAAAGTGAAGGTGGTAACAAGTATTTCATGCTTGTGATGGATTACTTCACTAAGTGGCCAGAAGTCTTCCAAATCAAGAAGCTTCAACAGTTGCAGATAAACTAGTTCATGAAGTCTTCTGTCGTTTTGGAGTACCTATAGAGATTCACAGCGATCAAGGAAGGAATTTTGAGTCTCAAATATTCCAGGATACTTTCCGAGTTATGGGTACTCATAAAATAAGAACGAATTCTTACCACCCGCAATCTGATATAATGGTAGAACGATTTAATCAGACATTGGAGATGCACCTAGCCAAAGTTGTAGACAATCGGCAACGAGATTCGGACAAGCACTTTACGCGAACATGACACATTAAACGAAATTAATTTTACGGATTTTATTGCGTTTTATTAAACTTTTTAATTCCCGACGTTTCATGTGCTTTACAGCACTCATGGTCATCGTCAGATTTGCCAGGCTACACTAGTTTTTAAATATTCATTTTGGTTCGATCTGCGCAGAATAAACTTAAATTACCTTGAAGTCTTGTCTCGCCAAGTGTAATATCATGCAGAATTGTACAAGCATAATTGTGAATGTGGTCTCTCTAACATAAAACAAACAAAAAGATCAATAAAATCCGCGTATTAGAATATATTGCTGACATGAATCACTATCGACCCGGCAAGTCTTCAGTCTGTAAACACGTTCAAGATAGTTCACGCCATCACATTAGATTTTATAGACCATAAATTCCTACAGAAAAGAACACCGATTCCTACCAAAGATGATTCGTGAGGCTGTTGAAATAAAAAAAATATTCTATAGAGTACATTTATTTCTAAAGAGAAGATGGCATGACAAGTAAGACACCTTAGTCCCCCCCCCCGCTCTTGTGACCATGGTTGCTACAAAGCACCATAAACGTAGTGAATTGAAAAAGTTCAAATTAATTGCGTTAAAGTCCGTAAAATTAGTTTCATTTAACCTAAACATTTGTTTTCGAATAATCACGCAATCCCGTCCCCACCCTTCAACCCTGCAGTCATATAATTAAGTCTGTAAAAAATATATTATTGTAGTCGTACAACTTTACATTTTAAACACAAAAGTATTGCGTTTTATTTGTTTTCGAGCCTTACAACGTGTACATAGATTTAACACTTCAAAAGTATACGTTGATATAAGATCAGATGAGATAATTTGAACTATTTGTTATGAATTCAAATAATTTAAGTATTTTTCCCATTAAAGCTATAGCTTCGGTTTTTATATGTCTCTTAATACCTTTGTGTAAAAATCGAGAAATATTAATTCAAGATAATAATAAGGAAATACTATCGTGTATCGGGAATATCATTACACTTTGGTTTGAAAAAGGATCAGAAGTTACGTATGTAGATATAAATTATTTTGACAATGAATTAATTAAGTCAGTACACGAAATGAAATATGTGTCTGTAATATCACGAACAACTAAAAAGAAAGTACTATATCAAAATGAAGGCTACTTGATAACAGCTAAAAATTTAAGAGTTTTCAAAGATGAATTTATGTTTTTATCAATGGAAGAAGGTTGGAAACCGGATGAATATTTTCTGATTATTTTTAAGGAACTTGAATTATCAGAAATAAATGATGTATTTAAAATTCTTCTACGTTATCATGTCTTTAAAGTGTTAGTAATAAATAGAGCAAGTAATGCGAATGTCTACACTTACAATCCATTTGAAAACTATGGTTGTGGAATGGTTTTCAATAGGACTATATCATACGGAAAATGTACGAAAGCAAACATAACAAAATCATTCTTTTTTAAACCTATGACAGGACTTAGAAAGTGTACATTTGAAGTAGGTTTTAATCATTTTCCCCCTTACGTTATTGATCCCAATAATGATCAGAGTAAAGAGAAACTTATGGGATTAGAACAATATATTTTGCAAACTTTAAGTGAATTGGAACAATTCAAAGTTATATATACTCACAAATATAATTCTGACGAAATTTCTGATATAGGAGATGATATGATAGCTTCTGGGTCTTTGAGTTCAATTCAGAAAGGTGATGTTAAGATATTAGTAGGAGGGTTTTTTTTTGATGCATAAAAGAGCAAAAGCTTTTAGCTACTTATATGGGCATCATTCTAACCATGACGGACTCATAATCTTAGTCAAAAAAGCAGGCTTGGTATCGAATTTCAAAAATGTTTATATAGAGTTTGATGCCGTGGTTTGGATATTATTAGGCGTAGCATTCGTGTTATTTTTTGTGGTTTTTGTTAAAATATTTCATATAGAGGACAAATGTGGTACAATCTCAGTTATGTGGGACGTTCTTTTTCAACACGGTGCTACATTGGGTAATAAGCTGAAGTTTAGGTATTTCATGTTTATTTGGATTGTTTTTGCTTATTTGATTAATATACACTACCAAGCAAATCTGTCGAGCCTTACCACAGACCCTAATTACGAATATCAAATTTCTAACGAGAACGATCTGTCTGTCTTTAATATAAAGCCATGTTTAAGCTCTCCTGTAAAAAATTTTTTACAAGTCGCATCAGAAATTGAGTTAGAAGAGGGAAACAATGAAGAATGTGATACTTGGTTACAGAGCATTAGGACAGTCAGCCAAGTCGATGACAAGTATACTATAATTTTTTATTCTTTATATAATCGCTATAAACTAACTTTCATTGATGACTACGGGAGTCCTCTACTTTATGCGTTTAAACAACCAATTAACAAGGTTATAGTTGCTATATACTTTTACAAAGGATTCCCTATGCTAAGGCAATTACGATTGAAACTTTTGCATATTATTGAGTGTGGTTTGTTTGATAAGCATTTGAGAGATTTATTAAATGAAGATGTCAAAAAACACTATTTTCCTCAAACACACTTTCGGGTTCATCTTATTATTCCTTGGCATATTCTTGCTTTTGGTCTTAGTCTGGCAACCGGGTGTTTTGTAACTGAAATAATAATATATTTTATTAGACAAAAGATCAGAAACAAGGTTTACACTTTCGTAAATTAAAATTTTAACATTTAGATTGCTCAATTATTATAAAGGTTAAAAAGAATCTTACTTTTATGTAAAAATACATGAAGAGGATAAAAAATTATTCTACTCATCTTTATCTTATTTCTATCCATCATATTATGGAGTTAATGTTTGACTTTTGTAAACGACGTTTCCGCTGCCTTGAGAGTATCCTCAGATCTTTCCTTAAGCTACCATCTGCATGAGGTAGACACATGTGCTCCATCAACCAACACAATGGCAGATATGGGTAAAATATATTTATAAGATAATAGTCATAATTTGCCATCAGAAAGAGTTTGCGTCACTGACGTAGAATACACCAACCACACCCACTCAACACCAACAAGTTACCTTTAATCATACATTGGTGGGAAAGTTACAGAGATATATTATTATGTTGTTATATAAAACATCATGGCGGTCAGACAGTCTGCAGCCCCGTAATGAAGTGACCCGATTGGGGTAAAGCTACTTAGATGTGAGTCAAACCAAGACGCAGAGAGCACCTTTGAGAATATCGACCTGCCAAACAACCATCGCAGAGACGCAAAGTTGCAAAACGTTACAAACGTCAATACGCCTATCGTTGTAAGCCATCTCAAGGTCCCCCATACAATCCTAGCAGACAGCACTACCCGCACACCTCCATCGAGAACCACAAAGTGGGTCGAATCAAGCGCAGCACACCCGCAGATACAGCAGACGCAATAGATATATAGGTAGATAGATGGAAAATTTATTTGCCTAAAAACATGGTACATAAGATGGTCAATGATGGGGAATTGACATGTTTTGCCATAATTGGCATGCAAAAATTATATGAAATACAGCTAATTACACTAAGCCAGTCTTACATTTTAAAATTATTTCATTGCTTAAAAATTATGTATATGTTTGTATGCCTTTCGAATTCGAATATTTTGTACAATTGAAAACAATATATACAGATCCACTCTATTTGAATTCTTATACCTACAATAAATTGATCATAAATTATTAATTGAATTATTACATTATTGTTAAATAATTAATATGAAATATTATGTGAGATTAGTTAAGCTAATATTATTTTAATAATTACACTACAGTATAAATTAATTCATAATTTTAATTGCAATAAAATTATAATTTACAGATCTCAGTATATTATGCAAATATTACCATTTAACTTAATACATTATTTTACATTTTAATAAATAAATAATCAATATGAGTTACTAATTGTTTTTAGAAATAAAATGTCAATATTCATTAATACCTTAAATTAAATTTTATATTAATATAATAAATTTGACGAATTTATAATTAATTATGTACTAACTAATTATGCTATCTCAAAATATTCTGTTGCACTATATAAACATTTATCAATCAGCCACGATTTTAGCGCTTTTATAAAGAGAGGAATACCGCACAACACACCCACGTGATCCCTATCGACTTTGGTGGCAAAATTGGTATTGTTGTTAGCTAAAAATAGCACCCACGAATCATAGCAGCACGCTACTAAGACGCAGTAGTCAAAAATCTACGTATCATAGCGCTAATGCACTCTAAAATCATAGCACTAAGACTTGGAGTTGAGTATGTACACTTAAAAGTGCTACAAACACACCCAACCCAATCCGAAAGATAGCCGACGTATCATAATGCTATATGCTAAGACGCCGCCCACAAGGGTATGGGACTGCGATGTTCACGGGCAAGCCGTACTGCTACAACAAACCCGCTTACCATCGACACTAAGATTATATGTTTCTAGGACACATCGGTTAGCGAGTCCAAGTTTACCTCGGTCTCGGACGCTGTGATGTAGTCTATATTGTGGATAGAGCAGGTACCAGAAGTATTTTATACGTGGTAGAGTCAAGCTGCAGCTATTTTATGGTTGTAACACGAATGGGTTGGCTTGACTAGGGTAGGACCACGCATTTATGGGAATACCAGCGTAAAATAGCAGCTTAATGCTGCTGTGTTTTGTATAGTGGGTGAAGAGAACCGGAGACCCTTTTAACCGGAAACGAGGCATTCCGTCTTAGTTCTCAGAGGGTAGATATGTATGGGCATGTTACGCACATACTATCAGGTGGATAGTGTTTTCGTTTCTCATCCGTATTGTATAATAAAGCCACTGAATGTAAGAATAAATACATTTTATAAAAATATCATTAATATAAAGTTTCCAAAAAATGAACCAATAACAGCGTTTCCAGGCAATTTTAATGAACACAAACATGTTTAATAAATATTGCGTGACAACACCGTTATTCGTTCGTAGTTAGTTAGTCGATGGAAAAAATTTCAGCAGTATGAGTGTTTGTTTAATATTTTATCTAAAACTGCCGGTTCTAGCAGCAATCAGTTGTTACAACAAACGCAGTATACAGAAGTAATATTCAAAACAAACATGAATCTGAAGATAACAATATCATTTCAAACAAACGCACAAACAAATTAATACACAGTCCACTTAGTGGTGATTGGATAAGATGCCCTATAGATATCTATCCTCAGTTAATCATAAAAATGGATATGCGTTGTCACCCCGGAGGAATAAGAGGGAATGATTCGTTTCTGGTGAAAAGGCTTTCTGGTTCTTTATACTAACCATACGAACGTTTGAATCCCGTACGGGACAAATACTTGTATCCAGGTCTGTCCTTGTGTAATTTATGTCTGTAAACTGGCCCACGATACAAGATGAAATCGCTAATATGGAGGTTAAAACAACAGTGACACAATTGCAACGTAAATTAAAAATGAACCTGAAAATACATGAATAATCTACTTTCAAAAGAATCTGAAAAACTAAGACAGCAACAGACATTATCACTGTACTAAATTGGCTACCCGTTGGTAAAAAGGATTGAAGAAATAAAACGTGCCGTTTTTATTATTGCTCTATCTTAATTAGGCCATTGTCACATTTTCGGAATCAAAGTAAATACTTTTAGGATTTCTGGAACACAATTATGTGAGTAAGAAAAGTACAAAAAAAGAAGTCCGTATTATTAAAGGATTAATTGGGTTACATTTGACAGGATTATAATACAACTATATGCTATCGTATAGTGCCGGTGTAAGAATATCAACTATCCCATATCGTGAGTGTCTGGAGAGGCGGCAGAGAGAAATAAACTAGGAGATGGGCACCATCGTCTTTCTAAGAACATCTAGAAAATAAAAAACTATGGCTGCCAGCCTGCCTGGCAAGTGTTGTAAGTTTGGCAAGTACACACTTGTGAGGCTGAATCCATGGGAAGACCTATCTTCAAAATTAGATTTTGGTGTGCATAGAAACAAATGCTGTATAAATAAAATTCGTAGGTTAATTGAAGTTAATTTTCTCTCTTTAACGAAATATAAAAGTATTTTTGCTTGGCAATATAATGATAAAATGCCCTAGATGTGTTTTTGAGCTAGTGACTAACTACTTTAGTTACAAAATGTATTGTCTAGATGATCACGTTCAACGTTCTCAACAAGACGCACATCGTTGTAGTCTGGACAAATAAAACTGTTTTCTTCTTTATGTAGTAATTTTTTCGAAAATCTACTTTACTGTGAAGAAATACTCACGAAGGCTTGTTTTTAAATATTTTCTAGGAAGAGGATATTCTTTTAATTTTATTAGAAACTTAATTAAGAATTTGTTTCTATTTTTTTTTGCTGTTATTTTTTATAGAATAGGGAACAGATTGCCTGATTTTAAGTGACTACACCGAATCATGAATAACTGCAACTCCAGGGGAATTGCAGGAGTGATAGGCCGGTTGTAAAATATCCATACTGAAGAGCCATGCTCGCGCTATACTCCGGCTGCAGCACGAATGAGTCAGGAAGGACTGTGCTCTAACAGAAAACCAGCTTAAAATAGTAGCTTAATGCCCATTAGCTGTGTTTCCAATGGTGAGTGTAAAGAATCGGAGGCCCATTTTTCTGGATATGAGAGTCCATTTTTCATCCATCATCCAGCAACATTCCATCTTAGTCCTTAGACATAACAACATATCTGCATTGTAATTAATAAAAATTAAGAGAGATTAAGAGAAGAGCA